CGGAGCCCGAAGGCCTCGGGGACCCCTCGGTGTCCCCCGGAGCACGCGCGGCCCCGCCGCTGGGCACGGTCTCCCGGGTGGGATCCTTTCGGAGGACGGCCCAGCCCTGCAGGAGCTTGGGCCCCGGTTCGCGCCGTGTCGCGCTCGAGCCATTCTCGTGAGCCGGCTGGGGCCCTCTGCTGCCGCGTTGCAGGGCCGGAGCAGGTGGCACAGCACGGCCTTTCTTGGCCCGGTTGATGGGGCTGAGGCGTCCTCGATCGCCCTTTGAGCTGGTCCAGAGTAGATGGACTCAGAATCGCCTCTGCGGAGAGACAGTTTTGCTTTTTCAGTTGGAACTGATCCGTTGTTACAAGTGAAGCATTTTGTTTGCCTGAAGTTGTGAGATGAGACTTTCCTGAGATTTGGGGACAGTAGATAGCAAATATTTGAAGGGTCCACAGATAGGGTGATCCTCCCCTGGGAGTTTTTACTGGGAAACATCTAAAGTGTTACCGAAGGTAAACACTCATTTGCTTTAATGATTCAGTCGTTCTGCGGTTTTGAGGCTAAGCTAGGCTTGCCTCTAACCCTTGTTTCCCCCACTGCAAAAAGCAAACACCGGCACCTCTTTTAACTGAACACTTCAGTGTTTGCCCCGTGTGCTGAATTAGTATAGCGTAGTTATATCATGAAATCCATTGGCACCGTTAAAATTTTGGCTAAATGGTCATCATTTATAAAGCCATGAGTGTGCACAGGTTGTCTGTGCAGGAAACTATGATTATTGTTCTCTTTTTGCAAGTTTTTCATATAATTACATCATTTAAAAACGTGTCGGGTTCTCTGTACTATCCACTGATTCAGCCCTAAATTCTTAGCCAGTTGTCTAATTCTTTCTACAAAGTCAGATCATCGTATCTTTTGTAAGTTTTCCTGAAATCTCTTCTAGAGACCCTTTACATGCTTAAATGAGGATTGTGTTTCCCTGTGCCTGGGGCACACCTGACATTTTTAGGCCTGTCCTCACCCTCATCCCCAGAAATCCCTTTACCTGAGTCCTGCGGTTGGTAGCTTCCTCTTTTTGGCGTTACTCACTTCTCTCAGTGTAGTGCATTCTCCAGTGGTTTCCTGAAAGAATTTTTAAAGATCTTACATGTTTCATAATTCCATCAAAGGATCCTTTATGTCTGACATCATGTTTTTATTTCTTTCATTTCCACTTCATTTGTTTTTGCTCATGTGTTTATGCATGTTGTTTACCTTTTCCATTAGATCCTTAAACATACTAATCATAGTTATCTACAAGTCTGGTACCTGGATCATCTAAGTTTGGGTTTGTTTTCTGTTTTGTCTTTTTTATTTCTGCCCAGGGCTAGGCACTCCTCTTTTTTAGGCCTTTAGGTGTGTTGAGCCCCTCTAGTGTGTAGTTGAGTTGGATTTAGCTTTTGTTGCTATATTTGCTGTAAGTGCACTCTAATCTTCAAATTCTTCCCCGATGGATTGTGGCAGTCTTCTGCTTATGTGAAGCATAGAGTACTTAAAGGGTTTCTCCAGCCTGGGAGGCCTACGCCACAGATGGAGGGCTTTGTCCCTCTCTCAGGGGTTGACTGCTGATGCCTGTTACTTGGTTTGAGTTAGGGGCATGGACTTTTTATTCTTCTGTTCCACCTCATCTCAGGTCCCATGTGTCTGAACCTCACGGTTTGCTTTTTTTGTTGTCTCTGCTCCCTCTCCCATGGCAAGTAACCTCTGCCTCCCACTTCGGGAAGTGTTTAGAGTTTTTTTGCTCTCTTCCTGTGGCAGCTACTTTCAGCATGTGTCTGTAGTAGGTCTAGGCACTAGTGTCCTGTATAATTTTGTTTTCTCCATTTTTCTTTTTTTTTCCAATTTGTTTTGGTCTCGATCTTTTGTATAGAAGTTTCCCCCAGATGACTTATGATCTTTAGATACCTGTTTGTATTTTAAAATGAGGAATTCAAATTGGGTTTAAAGCTCTTAGCCTGTGAGTGGTGCTTGTTGACTGTGAATTCACCATAAGCTAATCTCTGATGTATTTTCAGGTCTTTTCTCTTGGGTTGGCCAGATTCTACAGAGATCATCTTCCAGTTTTCTGCTGTGTAGTGAACTGGCCAGCATTCCGGGACCTGAGGGGACAGGTGGAGGAGAGTCTCAGCACTGAGGGTGCACATGTGTTCACTGAATCCCCATTTTCAGTAGGGCTGATCTCAGCTGTGTGTTATGCCTCCTAGTTCAGAGCCCCACAGTCTTACCTTCTCCAGAGAATTAGTTCTAGTCTTTTTCCTGTTAAGGATATATAAAGGTAACCTGGGGATGTGACTTGTTTCTTAAACACATTGTCAACAAGTCATCTGTAGTCTCACTTTTTACCTCTACACAGAAGTAACTTTTGCTGTCACTTCCTTTGGCTTGAAGGGATTTTGTAGTGTAAATCAAATTGTTTCTTGGGTTTTCTATGTCAACTTAAAATTCCCTTGTCTTGAGTCAGCTTGGTTTTTGTGTGATTTTCAAATTTGAAATTTTATTGCTGTGGTCTGCTCCTGTTTTTCCCATTCTTCTGGGTTTTTGCCTTTGAAAATGCTTTACTGTTGAAGACAAAAGATAATATGTATGTACAAATCTGTCACTTTTACCCAGAACTCTAAAATTGTAATCTTAATTTGTAAAAAAAATCTCTCTTTGAGACTCCCAAGCCTCCTATCTAGGCTTGCTTCAGGGGCGCCCTCCATGATTAGAGAATATAACATTTGGTAATAGTGGCATTAGTTTAAGAACTGCTATCATTAAGAGAAATTTGTGAAATTTGCACTGGGAAGGACTAATTTTTTTTTTAAACCATATCAGGTCCAAGTCTGTTTTGGTGGTCTGAGAAGAAAAAAGATGAGCTTCTAAAGTTTTGGGAAAATTATATTTTAATTATGGAAACTTTAGAAGGAAATCAGGTAGGTGTTTAGCCCCTTGAACAAATCGTACAGTAGATAACAATTTTTCTTATTTTCAAACATTCATTAAAAGCAGTGCAAAAAGACCAACTTGGCTATAGCTTATGATGATAGAATTCAAGTATACTTTGTTTTCTGGCATAATTCAACTTAACAGAATGTAAATTTTTTTCTCAAAATTAAAGAATACTCTCAGTTGATTTAAATTGTCATTCACAAAATTTAGTCTTATTTGATCTTCTCTTGACATTCTCCAACTTCAATGTTCATCAGAAACACCCAGACAGCTTGTTATAAATTGCAGGACCCTGTCCTCAGACTTTCTGGTTCAATAGGTTTGGAATGGGTCCTGAGAATTTGAATTTTTTGCAAGTCCCCAGGTGAAGCCTGTGCTGCTGTTCTGTAAACTACATGTTGGGAAACCCTCGTCTAGGGGTTCCTAAGTTGGGGACCTCTTAGGGGCTAGCCATCTATGGTGTCATTGTGAGTTGCCAGCCCAAATGTGCACCAAGCATTGTTTGTGAACTGAAAAAAGTATTCATATGCAGATGCACAGATGAGGAATCAAGAAAAAGCATTTTTAGATTCAAATAAACTGTGGTTTTCTTTAAACAGTAGACTCATAAGACCTCCATGCTTTATTTAGAAACTCTAATTTCCTATATTTTGAAGGATATATTAATTAAACTCTAGTGAAGGTGTCGGCAATATAGTCTAAGTGGTATGAAGAATATTGAACTTTGAACTCGCTCTACTTTGAACAACTTGAGCATCTGGAGAAAATATTTAAGTATTTTTTCCTCTTTGTAATATATCCGTGTTATCAGTCCTACCTATTTCCCAGGACAATTGAAGATTATATGACATAATTTATGATAATAATTATATAAATGTAAACATTAACTGTATTCTGGGTTATATTCATTAGCTTTGCCATACTCAGTCTTACATACCTACCTGAATCATTTTATGTTTCAAAAACTGGAAAAATCAGGTTCCTTTTGCATATTTTTCACATGGAGGCAAAAACAGAAACATATAAATAGATGAATAATATAAATTTACATATATTTTTATGTATACATATATAAATAGATGAATGTATAAATAGACGAATCCTCCTTAAGTTTCAAATGTACATTTTTCTTTCATATGATTTTTTTGCTCTTATTTTTAGATACATGTTATAAAGCCGGTCTTACCAAAGCTCAACAATCTGTTTCAATATGCAGTGTCACAGGAAAATGGTAATGATTACTTTTATTTTGGTTTTTAAAAACATTTATAGTTATTCCCCCTGATTTTATAGCTCATACTTGCTCATTGTAAAGAGTTTGAAGAACTATAAAAGTATATGGGAGAAAATATGAATCATCTTGTAAGGCTGCCACCAAGAGATAGCAGCTGTTAACACTCTAGATAGACACTTTCTGGATCATGTTGTTCATAATGTTCCTCTCACTTAGGGTAACATCTATATTCATTTATCCATATCCCCAAATAGTCTTTGAGAACTTTTAATGGCTGCAGAATTTCCTGTAATTGAGAGATATGGTTAACTTTTTAAACACTTGATTATGGAAAATTGCAGACATTTATGGGAGGGGAGTCTGTGTGACACACCCTTCACCTACTCCCACAAAGACCCGCTTGTGACCAACCTTGTATATTGTGTCATAGCGAGTGTCTTTGAGCACATCCCGGGATCTCATAACATTATGTCTATGAATATTTGGGTATGTATCTTAGAAGGCAAGGACTCTTTGGTAAGGTTTTCAAAATGACAAACAGTAGCTTTGTGGTATGAGTATATATCTTAACTGTTTTCCATTCTTATTCTCTTGATATACCTTTTCCAGTGTTTGTTAGAATGATTTCTGGGGGGATTTCAATTACTGTTCAGTATCTTGAACTACTTAGAGAAAATTCCAAGATATGGGTTTAAATATGATTTATAAGCCCTTTATCACTATGAGGGCTTTTTAGGAGAAATAAAATGAAATTAGAGCTTCCTAAAATTATTTTATGAAGTTACATTTAGATCAATTGAAAGAGCTAAACACAGGCCAATAATGTTTTGTATTCATATGAATGATAAAATGCTGCATTATTGTGTTTACACATGAGAATTAACCTAGGTAAATGGATTTTGATGCCTGCTCTAGATAATTACAACTTTAATAGTTTGACCCCTTAGGAATTGAGCTTTATTCAGCTTATTGCTATAGTTGTTTTCTGATACACTGGGATTTTTCACAGACTATAAGCATCTATAGTTCCACCTGGGGCTAGAATTTAATTGAATCCTGTTGTGACTTCACTTATGCATTTACTATTAAAATGGTGCTCTTATTACCACATTTTGCTCACAGCTCTTGGCAAACCAAATCAAATAGCAGTGACTGATTCTGAAAAATTGTCATTGCCAAAGAGTTGAACAAGCATCTTGGTGTAAATTACAAATAATGAACCAATTTATTTATAGACTGTCATGAGTTTAAAATGCCTTTTTTTTTCCTAGTAAATATTTCAAGAGTCAGAAAAAATGTCTTTCGAGAACACATTTATTCCATTTTTGTTATTTGGTCACTCTTATTTACTTAATAGATATTTACTTAGTGTCCAGTTACTGCTAAGCACTGGAAATAAAGTGGTGAGAGGGATACAGTATTTTTCACTTAATTTTTGTATGTTGTCCATGAAAAAATAGTTTTGATTATAAGCTTCATATAGGGAACAGACAAAGAACTGAAATGGAGCAAGTGGGTAAGGTAGTCAGGGATGACTTAGATGTCTTAGGATGACATCTAAGCTCAGAGTTCCAGGGAGGCAACATCTGGTACACAAGCCTTGAGATGGGAGCAGCTCGAAAAGGCAGGCCAGAAGGACCAGTGGGCCACTGCAGCCTAGTGGGCTTGTGCAGCAGGGGATGCAGCTGGCATGGTTGTTAGGGTCAGTCATGCCTCATTCAGATTTTATTCTAAGAATGAAGGGGAGCCCTTCAGGGATTTTAAGCGGAAGACTGGCAGTTTCAGATTTCTGTATGAAAAGTAGATTGAAGTGGGATAAGAGAACAATTTGTTGAAACTGCCCCAAATCTAAAGTTCCATCCTGCTTGCATGGGGTAATATTTAATTTTTGTGCACGGTAGCAGCTATAACGTTCATTTGCAGTCTCTCTAAATGACACTGCCTGAATACAAAATACTAAATACCCAAGTTATTTTGGTTATTCAGTAATCACTCTTAGATGTGATTAAAAAAAAGCCAAACAAACAGACTAGCTTTTGTAGTGTTATGGTGTAGTTAATATATTTGTTCATACATGTATTCATTTATGAGTAGATAGTCTACATGGAAAGTAACAATTGAATGTCCACATTAGATCTTTATTTCCACAGGATGTTGGATCTTTCACCCAACCTGGCACTTGTGTATTTACAAAAGAATGTTTGAAAGTGAAAATAAAATCCTGACCAGAGAAGGTGTTAACCATTTTCTGGAGCTGTATGAAGCAAAAGTTCTTCCATTTTCAACAGAATTTTCTGAGGTAATGACAGCCTATCATTGCTCCCTTTGTCAAAAGACAAGAGTTAAAGGCATTTATTATATCATATGTGATCTTTTAAAAAATACACTGTGGGAGCCAGGCTCGGTGGCTCAGCCTGTAATCCCACGCCTTTGGGAGGCTGAGGTGAGTGGATTGCCTGAGCCCCCGGGTTCGAGACCCGCCTGGGCAGCGAGACCTCATCTCTACAATAAATCAAAAATTAGCCAGGTGTGGTAGCGCACGCCTGTAGTTCCAGCTACTTGGAAGGCTGAGGTGGAAGGATCGCTGGAGCCCAGCAGGTCGAGGCTGCGGTGGCTGGGAGCGGCCACTGCACGCTAGTCTGGGCGACAGAGTGAGATTCCAACTCAAAAAAAAAAAATACACTGTGACTCTGTGCTAGTAAGTCACATTTATAGATTTACATGCACTGAATCTCATTTCTGTAAACCTAGCTGTTGTATTTGGAAAAAGCTTGTGTTGTTTGTTGGCAAGCCGAGTAGTAGAATTGCCTGCATCATTACCACTGCTATGGTGTTGGTGTTCTAAACCAGCAGCCCCCAACCTTGTTGGCCTCAGGGACCAGTTTTGTGGCCGACAGCTTGGATCGGGGGAGGGAGAGGATTGTCAGGCATTAGATGCTCATAAGGAGCATAGCCTCGGTCCCTGGCATGCACAGTTCTCAATGGGGTTTGGGATTTGTAATGCCACTCCTGCTGTGCGGCCCAGTTTCTAATTGGCCACGGGCTGCTACTGGTCCACGGCCCAGTGGTTGGGGCCCCCTGTTCTAAACAACGTAAGTGAAGGGTGTGTTATAGAAGCTTTTAGGTGATACTGCTCTCACAATTCTGAATCACTGAGTTCCTGTTAACTTGTTTAGTGATGCTCCTCCCCCAGTTCTGAGTCAATGAAATACTGTTTTCTACTTATTCAGCAGAGACTGCCTTCTGAGCTGTATTTATTAGAAACTGTACATTCATTTTCCAAGAACCACACCAAGTGAAGAGACTGTGAGAATTACAGCTGTGGTTTTAAGTTTTGTCTTACAGTGTCATAGGAATCACATGATCACCTCCTTAGACTGAGTAATCTATCTCTCATTTAAAGATGACCTCAGTTGATTTTGTTGTCTCAATACACGCTATAGTGTTTTATATGTATCATTTTTCAGCATTCCCCTATTCTTCCTACACTTCATGTAGGCTTGCTTTTTTGACTAGCTCTCCTAATTTTTTTTTTTAGTATATTTTTTCTCTCTTTATGCTCAAGGCATGTAGGCTTATATTTTCTCTTGAATATCTTTGTTTTTCCTGTTTTCACCTTTATTTTCTAGCATATGTTTCTTCTTCTGGTTCTTTTCTTCTTTTTTGATCCAACTTATGAATTGTCATAGTTCAGTTTTTAAATCTTTCTTAGTATGCCGTAAGATTTTAGCAGAAGCCGGGCTCTGTGGCCCAGCCTGTAATCCCACGCCTTGGGAGGCTGAGGTGAGTGGATTGCCTGAGCCCGCAGGTTCGAGATCCGCCTGGGCAACTTGGTGAGACCTCATATCTACAATAAATAAAAAATTAGCTGGGCATGGTAGCGCGCGCCTGTAATTCCAGCTACTCGGAAGGCTGACGCGGATGGATCACTGGAGC